CCATCACTTTTCTAATGGTCCGTCCCTGTACTTTATTTCCTATTTGTATTGTTAATTTTCAAGTGAAGGTAAACAACAACAAAGACATCTGAAACATTATCTATAAAAATTAACTATAAAAATCAAAACTTACTTTTCACCAACAGAGTCATTTCCTTTTAAAACACGGACATAATCATTGTAGCAGCTCTTGTGGTACTGGACCTCAATACATGAACAGTCTTTTCCTCTAATGTCCTTCAAGATAGTTTCGTCATCTATCTTTTCAGCAGCACTACGAAGCTGGCCTAAAAAGTGGGAAAATGTGTGCCTTTGAAAATGTGTGCCTTTGAAAATGTGTGCCTTTGAAAATGTGTGCCTAAATAGTGGGGAAATGTGTGCCTTTGAAAATGTGTGCCTAAAAAGTGGAAAAATGTGTGCATTTGTGTGCCTTTGATAGACTACACTTGATAAGTTGACTATAAATCATTATATTTTAAGCAGAAAATAACCAACGTGATAAGAATACACACATACTGAACATCCCCTCTACTTTGGACTTTTTATCTCAATCTTACCTGCATCTGATGTTTCTGCTTTAGACAATGATTCATGCACCCACTTTCCCTTAATCTTAGTCCTTCTAGTTAGCTTTTTGCAAATAATACACAACTTGGGTAGAATTGTATGTGGTTGTTGAGACATCTTTGGGACCTTGCTTCGGAGAAATGGCATTTTGGGTTTTGATGGTGGTACAGCTGGTTCTTCTTCCATTTTCCTTTTTCTCTCTACAGTTCTCCTTGCCTGCATATAGAAATAAATAATCTACTATCTAACACAATGGCACATATATATAACTACAAAATACTACTACAAAAAAAAGGCTATTACGGTATTGCATAACATTTTAGCATAGCTTTTTAATACTCTATAAGAAATACATTTAAACAAATTTAATATAATTAACTAATGCAAATAATACTCCCATTCCAAAAAAAAAGTATAATATTACAAATTACAATATGCTGTAAAATTAAATTGACAAACTTACCTTGTTTATAATAGAAATATTAGTAAATTTTTGATAGCACTCTTCGTGGAATCCAAAATCTGGATAACGTTGTTTGGCATCTTCCAACCGAATCAGGCCACTATTTATATCAACGAAATCGGTCAATCCTTTTCTTTCCAAAATGAGAGCAATGTCAAGTTGTTTTCCGTATAAACCTTTCCAATCTTCGATTCGTTTTACTAATGTCTCTAACCTCTTACTTGTTAGCGGTTTAATATCGCACTTTGCATCATCAACAATATGTAAATAACACTTGTTATTCAAATAAGGCAAAATTTGGGCAGAAGTTGAAGCCGCCATGTTGTTTCTAACCCTATCAACATTACACCCCTATTATCCCGTCAAAATCTTGATATGTTCCCTGCTAAATCCCCATTATCCCCGAAGCTGTAAAAAGGGTCAAAAAGATAAAATTTTCACATTTTGCAAAGGAGATTTTGGAACAAATATTGGATTTTATATTTATCATACTGTGATCTAACTAAGTAACTAAAGTTTAGGTAGTTTCGTTATTCAGGAACGAAACTGAAAGATAGCAATTTCGCCCAATGGTCTAATTGTAATTATGTCCTATAGTCCTAACCACCCGCCCGCCCGCGTCGTAAACGAAGGTAAGGCAGGACCAGAAACTAAAGATTAACTTGTAGTGGCCTAAGTAACATCACAAGCATCTTCTTTATAGCAAATATTTAACAGAAAATTACAACATACAAATGCATATCACACAAATAAGCTATACGATTTTCTTAATTAAGGCAGTTCTACCTAAACATCATTTATTCAAAGGAAAATACGATACAAAATGACCAAGGAAAATTTTTTTTGAAAAAGTCACTAATTAGGCTAATTAGCCAATATGGCGGCCATTAATTAACACATAATTGATTTGCATCGCAAACACCATATCTCAAGAACCAAGCACACAAATAATATGAATGATATATTTTTGAAAAGCTTACAACCTGATCTAATGCCTGACACTTATTTTTTTTCAAATTGCTTTTGAAAAAAATTCAGAGTAAAAACTTGAATTTTTGAATAATTTATACTTTTTTTTAAAGTATTTTTTACTAAATTTGTCTATAATTGTGCAATGATGACTGATTGGAAAAATTGAAGAGTGTCAGGCACTAGATGTTGTTATGAAGAGTAAATATGCCAAAATCTAAACTTCTACAGTAAATACTTGCAAAATTACAGTGTCACAAAGATCGCTGACACCATTCAAATTGCAAAACAGAGAAAATTCAATTTAAATGTATCCATTACTAGTTAATGTACTTATCATGGCCCTAGAAGCTTCCTGCTTCGTACACAACTCCTTCCTTCTCTTCTGCATCATCTATGTACTTTTTTCTAAGATGCCTTAATGTTTTTCTTTGTTTTTTCACTGATTCTTTGCTTTTCTTCGCTGACAATTTGATTCTCGACACATCACATTTTTCTGCGCCTTTAAGTGTGAACACTCCTGGCTCAATGTCTAGGTCTTTAAAAAGTTTAAGGAAGGCGATATCTCCATCATTAAACTTAAGAACTGCCAAGTAGGTAGCTAGAGTAACAGTTTCTAGTTCAACATAGGTGGTTTTGGGACACCGATCCCAAATTAGCCCATTCAAGCATTCATTAACATTTTGTGTTAGGCCATGTGTGCATTTTTGAAGAAGTTCCGATTTACTTAAATCATCAAATATTGGCTCTATTTCTTGAACTATACACTTTGGTATGCCATTCTTGTGTTGGTAAGATTCCTTCTCTCTTTTGTAGCCGCACCAAGTGTCATCACCATCGGGACAAAGATGATGTTGAGGATCCGAATCACTTGAAGCAACATGGAATAATGTTGCTTTAATTGCTGTGGCCATTTTATTCACATCATTTAAGTTTTCTCTCACAGCAAGACCATAATAATTTTGTAAAATGTCAATCTTTCCATCTGTTAGCCTTCCTTTGCCTCCTAAAGTCTTGCCATCACTAAGTTTAACACCTTTTGCTGATTTTTTCAACCTCCGCAACCGACTTCCAACTCTCTTTTGCACATGTCCGATACATTCTAATTTATTTGGGATGCAGTCATCACCATAGGGCTTATTCTCAACAATAGCATTATAAGTTGATGAATCACCATCACCAAGCATATTCTTATACTTGAGTCCTCGTTGCACAAATGATCTTTGAAAAATCCGCACGGCACCAGCTGTTTCCATACTGCCAGCACTTCCAGTGTGGTTTATCTTTGCGGTTAGCATTTGTGGTTGGCTTTCCACTCCTCATACTTGGGTTGATTCACCTTCTTTCGCCAATTCTGGCATCCCTTACATTTATCGGACATAACCTCCACATCCAAACATTTCTTTGTATCGAGCGCGCGAGATAGCGGTAACAATACCATTGTGCGAGACATGACCACGTCTTTGCCAACTTCCATCCAGGGAAATTCCACATTCTCCCTCGTCATTCCCACAAGACTGTTTGACATCAGCTGCATTGTTCATCATACTGTCATTTGCCAATTGCTTTACAACAGGCAAAAGCTTCTGGTTCTGTATTTTCATATAGTTCCGGCTGGTTGGGGGTGGTGGCATGTTCATGATTTTGGTAAATGTTATCATTGCACTATGTCCACGACCAATTTCTCTGAATGCCAGGACTGCTCTCACATTGACATTATATGAAGGCCCTTGTTTTTGAGAGGAATGAAAGCAATGCTTCCAATCACACTCTGTATCTTCACATTGCAAGACAATGAAATGTGAAAACCCATTCTTTTCTTTCATGTCAATATGAGAGGTCATTTTGCTACCACAATCAGGGCATTTCAAGACTTCATTAAACACATTAAACAGTTCTTTTAAGTCCATAAATACAGTACCTTCGTTAATTGAGTCTGTATGACCAGGATTCTCGTTTAATTTTCCTGTTACGTGTCCGATCTTTATACCAGAAGCCCCGCGATTTTGTTGAGAATCTTGAGATGGTTCGCCTGCTTCGCCATCTTTGAATTTCATGCCGTTCTTCGACGGTGCAATTCTCGGCCTTTTTCTCTTTCTGTTTCGTTTATTTCCCATGTTTTGGTTGAAAATTACAAATACAAAAACACAATGATTGTAATTTTCAAGAAACAATAATACTTTTCGACCAAATAGCAATATAAAACGCAGAACTTTTAACAGACTTGTGCCAACAACGCGATGTAAACATTCAAGATTGTGCTCTACAAAATGCGTGGTCATTGGCTTGCACAACCAACCAATCAAATTCCAGCTAACAAAGAGGGTCTTAAAAAACATACATCGAAAGTAGAAACAGTAATTTCCTTTTTTGAATGAATAAATCCTGTGTTTTTTCGAGAGAAACTGGTTGCTAAGGGGTTGCTAAGGGCAATATATTCAAACATCGCCACTTTAAACGCATATTTTGCGTTTAAAAATAAAAAATTCAAAAAAGCAATCATAGATTCTGAAAGAGCAACATTTAAAATATCTTAAACACCCAAAACCAAAAATTTGAAAAATTGACTTAAAAAAGGGATAGAACTAGCTACACATATACGTGGAGACTGTAGATTAGACTTATAGACTTCTGCAAATAGAAATTAATCGAAAATTTACAACTGAGCGTCCAGATGCCTTCAGTGAATCGGCGGCGAAGCGACTAATATAAAATACAGGCCTTCGATTTTAATAAAAATATAACTACAGTAAGTCAAGTAACTATCCGCATACAAATGAGTAAATACACAATAGACATACCTTTCAAATTCCATGTATTTTACTAGGTCTTTCGAACTTTATAATAGAAAATTTGAATAAAAATCTTCTCCTTTGAATGCTTGCTCTCAAAAGATCGAACTTGGCGCTTGTTGTCAATGTGTCATACAGATCGAATTACTACAACACGTGATATATTCTAAGCATGTTAATTGGTTAAAAGTTTGGAATTTCCACTTGTTGAAAATTATATTCAGTAAGCAAAACATTCCACAAGTTCAAATTACAGAATCTCTGACAAACGCGGGTAATTATAATAGAGATTTACGCAGCAAAAAATATAGATGAGAGTGTAATATCCTATGTTATCACGTGGGGGGACACGTGACAGGTGGACGGATAACCGAGGAAACATGGAGACTCGAGAACAAAACTAGCTTGTATATTTGATGTTCAAAGAGAATATTATATTGGCGACGAGGATCTATTAACACAAACAACAAAACAACCCAGCGCAAGATCTTACTCAAGTCAGAAAGATCAGTACACTCTTAGCTTGTGTTCATATTCAGAAACACCAAGCCGTTCGAAGGCGAAAAACGTACGCTAGGTGTTTACACGTGGCGGGAAAGCAAGCAAACAAAACGCTTTAAAACTCTCGATTCAACGGCTAAAAACAGCCTAAAACACAACAAAACATGGCAACAGCTCTGCCAACATTCCCTTCCTTCGATCCCAACGCGGACCAGGGAGCACCCGGCGTCAGATTTAAGAAATACATCGC